CAGCAAGGGACTCTCTTTTTTCCCTTTAATAGCACCGTCTTGATTAACAATATGTATGTGTGTGCTGGCTTTGTAGGACTAGAAATGAGATCATCGGTTTATCACCAGTGACATATTGGAGAAAAGACATTACACGTAAGCCTAGAAGCTGTCAGCAGAGGTAGGGAGGATGGTGGGTCATGAAGGATAGTGCAAATCACGGAAACGTAGGTGGGCTAATTCCACGAGGGAGTTGCTGAACATTTGGGATAGAGGGAGAATTTCTCTGCAAAGCCATCCCTGTCTCCTCATCTCCACATCCAGTGTCACAAGCCCTTCTGATTCATGTCGACTTGATGAGCTGGAAGAACCTGCTGAGCCTGTGATAGCTGTGGCCAGAGGATTAGCAGCTTCTTTCCCTCTTCAGTTCTGTTTTTAGACTGGGATACATCTTTACTGAAGATTAGCAGCCTGGTGGGTTGGGGAAATTAAATTTCACAAGGTCTGCAAACTGGAAAGCACATATTCAGAGGTGTGAAAACGAAATGGGGAGGTTTTAATGTAGTGACTTCTTAATGAGTAGATCCTGTGGCCTTGAGCCTTGGGGCTTTTTTGGAGGTGAGGTTACTTCAGAGTAACAGGTGATGTGAATTTAAAGGGAAAATTCCAGAATAATTCCTAATTTGACACTCTTGTCCCAGAATAAGGGGCCCTTTTCTGATTTAATTTGACGCAGTTCCAAAATACATTGGCTAATATATTAATTAGCTATTTCATAGCTGTTATTTCAGTCTTTTTGAGGTAGAGAAGCTTTTGACAGGGCTGGCCGCATTGGCTCGTCATCCCCTTCGGTGGGCGTCTCATCAGAGGAAGCGTCCTGGCCAGTTCCTGCGGCACGCTGGCCCTCCTCCTCGGGGCTGCGCCGGTGGCTCTGCCAAATGCCCACCATGATCGCTGCTCTCCTCCCCTTGGAGCTGAGCTTGCTCTCGTCTTTGCTTTTCCCTCTTGCGCATCTAGCGAGCCGGGGCCGATGCGACCAGGGCGTGCTCTGTGAGCAAAGCCGGTGGCCCCCCGTGTGCTCTTCCAGCTCCGCTCCCTCTTACTCCAGCCAGCCGGCACGCACGTTCACCTTACGTTAATGAAACCGTGACTCGGGAAAAGTATTTTCAGGAGCCACATCAGCTTTGCCTCTTTATTGTGGTGCTGTGATACGGGGAGTGTGGGAGGGGAACCCTTTAAATACTCGAAGCATCCCCTAAAAGAAATGGCAGCTGTGTATGTGAGCACTGCTCATATATTACAAGCGGCATGAGCTGCCAGTATGTTTTTTCTTCCTTCTACACACTCAGGTCGTCTTGTGACCTCTCCCTGCTTGATTTATTTGGCAGTTTCTCGCCGTGGGAAGGCAGCGGGATGGGTGTGTTACAGCCTATGAACGTTCTGCTCTACGCCAGCTTATTTGCATTCACTTTTATCTGATGAATATACCCGTGTGTCTCTAAATGTCTGGAGCCATTTCTGGTTGACGTAGCACTACCTTGTACTGTGAAAATTCTTCTGTGTCGTCTTTAAATAAAAAATTTAGACCTGTCAGGATTGTTTTTCTCCCAAAGGAAGTGAAATTAGTATGAGATTTTGTTTGGCTTATGCGGATGTATCAGGAATGTTCGCCATCTGATACGCTTGCATGTAGATGAGAGCAAAGGCAGATATTTTTTTTAACCGCATGTAGACAACTCAGTCAGTATGACGAATGAGTTTATTATTCTGTAAGGTGCTTATTATATTATGCTCCTCTTTGCCTTTGTCTCTAGGGAGAACTCTTTAACCACTTCAGGGATTGATTGCATTTGATTAGAGAGTAGTTTGTCTTTTGAATCCATTATCCTGGATGAAAGTTTTCTGATGCAGCCAGAATTGCACCATGTGTGTATTATACAAATGAGGACCAAATGCAAAGTTATTTCGTAAGAGCCATTTGAATTGATGAGTTGCCTTTTCTTATAGAATTATAATACTGGATTGCAGTTAGGGGTGGAAAAGAGCCCCCGGGCTCATCCTGCCCACAGCAGCTTTCAAATATGTCCTTTCCCTTCTGCGCCCTTCCTCTCAGCTCCTTCTTCCTTTGAAACTGGAGAATTCTGGCTTTCATGAAAAAAGAAAATTTTCCCGGTTTGTTGAACATTCCTGTTGCAGTGACCACAAAGGCTTCCCCTGTCTTCTGCCCCGGCTGGAGACCTTCTGCCCGGGAGGTGGAGGAGTGGTGAGGAGTACTTTCCTTCTGGTCTCACGTAGCCAAGGCTGAGCCAGCTGTGGGAGGGGGGATAGGCTGGGTTACCTGGCAGGAGCGCTTGCAAGCCTCGCTCTTCATTGTTCTTTGAAATCATAACACCCTTTCTTTCTCCTAAACACAACCAACGTGATTGTTCCCTGGCCAATGTAGTATCTCCGCTCTGAAATGGTGTCCAGATTTACATGGGAAGGGAATGTACGGGCTGATGCTCCCCAAGTTTAATGTTACAGCATCTTCCTGCGAGCGTGACGGGGCGATGGGGCGACGATGGGGAGGAAGACTGGATGGATAAGTGCGATGTGCCCGCAGCATCCAGCTCCTCTGAACGGTTTCCATGAGCTCTGATTTAATCTCCTAAGCTTTTACTTAGGTTTTCTCTTCTCCGTAGGAACGCAGCATTTCTGAAGTGCCTAACTGACAGAGGAGGATTTAAGGAAAAAAAGATAGAGCCGGCTTCCAGCTGCAATAATAATTGCAGCTTATTATAAATTTAACAGATGAACTGTCGGTTTCTTGAAGGTGTGTGATCACCACAACCTTCTCTTGGAATCTGCACTGGCTAGAGAAAAAATTAACCTCTAAGGTGCTAAGCTAATGTAATTAATTTCATTGCTCAATAAGATGTTTCTTGATTTACAATTTGCAGGCTTCATTATTCCTTTTATCACTTCTTTGATAACATTGGACCGTGGTCTAAAAGATATCTTTGGTATGTTTTTTTATATATTTGTATTTACTCAATGATTATTGTAGGAGGTATGGAAGAATTTTATTCTTCTCGGAGTCTGCTTCCAGTGAGTGAGGCTTTTGCCTTTCAATAAAATGGGTCATTTTATTAGTTTTTCCCCACAGATGTCTAATTTGATAGGCACAGGAGGACTGAAGTAATACTTTTTATCAGTTGAAATTTCTGTGTATTTCAGAGCTTCTAAAATAAATTCTGTAACTTGAGAAGCTAAACATTTGTAAGTAGTTCATCTGTCTGATGTATACTTATAGCGCTTTCCTTAAAGTTTTTGGAAAGCATCCTGATTTTTCTGGCTTGGTGGTAGCTTTTCCTCCTGTTCTTGTGACTCTCTGTATCATGCAATCCTCGTATCATCATACTCCCTTTGCATTGTCAAAACCCTACATAAAATCTTTGATTTTCTTCTAATTTAAAGCTCTGAAATCGCACTTAGATTTTGTATTGGCTGTGTTTCTGTTGTGTGACTTAGCCGGAGGAGAGTGCGTCTGGGCAGCTTTGCTTGTACCTCTGCCTGTCAACCGGCCGTTCAAAAAGATGTTTCGACCCTGAAGGCTGGTGTCGGTACGGCGTGTGTTGGCCAGCGCTGGTTGCAGAGTCGCCTCTCCCCTTTTCTTCCCTGATTCCTCCCATGCAAAAAACAATTTCAGGAGCATCAGCCACCTGGCCCTTGTCTGGTTTGATCCTTTTGGTGAAACTTTCAGCAGTAGGAAATGGCAGCAAATCGTATGTTTATTTGAAAGTGATGATGCAAAAAGAGGGAACCACTGAAGCTGAGCAATTTCTAAGGAAGCAAATAAAAGCATCAGCACAGCGGTCAGAAGTTAGGGAGGGGACGGAGGCAAGTAATGATCTTTCTCTGGTAAATTTAATTCACACTTTTTGCTAAATGTAAATGATAGCTTAGGAAAAAACCTGCTTGGAATAGGTAGTAAATGGTGTTGCCAGGATACTTCCTGATCATGTTAATTAAACTGTCCCACAGATTTGGCTGAATTACTGCATAATTTGCATATTGGAAATGATGGTACGCATTACTAAAGAAAGCTCCTATTCTGTTAGTAGAAAGAACGTTGTACTTGAATTAATTTCCAGGGGAAGGAGTCTCTAGACTCATATAATGATGTATCTTGCAAATAAAGTTAAGATTTTTGATAATGAACTGACATATATCTCATTCCTTTTTGCAAGATTACATTTTATGCTTGTTCCACTAAGTTCCTTAGAGACTTCATCCCAACAGCCTTCCTCACATTGGCTATTTCTTTAATTGCAAGAACCACTGTTGCTTTCAAGGTTGCTGGTGGTGAAGCAGATATTAGTTAACTTTTGTGTAAAGTGGCAGAATACTTGTCTTGAGGCCCACATTTGATACTGCATGTGTGTTGTTGGTGATGCACTTCACCACCCTCCCAAGTTAAACTCATTATTAAGCTATCAACTTCTCCTTGTCTTGTTTTTTGTTGGGTTGTTTTTTTTTTTTAATTTCTGACATATCTCAGGCATCCTACTTGTGGAGGCCCGAGGCCAAATGGAGAAATGCGGAAATATCTCTTTGCTCTTCCAGTCTGAGCGCAGGTGTTGCTGGTAGACACCCTGCTTGGAGGCATCGGGCCATCCCGGGTGGGAGTAGCTGTATGCCTTTGTAACACTGAAAAAAGAGGATTTTGCATCGGCATTTCTGCCAGGGTAATTTTATAGCTCCTGTCCCTGCCGTCGCTTTGATTTCAGTGATGTTCTTGCAGCGGTGTTCCTGATGTAACTGCAGGACCGTTACAGTGCTTTGGAAAAAGAAGACAAAACATCAGAATTCCTGCATGAAGTAAGACAAGATGGAAACTGGTTTGTTTTGGGAAAAAATCTTCTGAATACAGCAATTTCCCAATTTAGACTGCTAATTGCTTTGGCTGATATCGTTGCTAGGATATGCATTTCCGATGTGGCTTCTACTTTTTAATTCTTTTTTGATCTGTTTTTAAACAGGTGATCATAAACAGCACAATCACACCTAACATGACCTTCACTAAAACATCGCAGAAGTTTGGCCAGTGGGCGGACAGCAGAGCAAATACTGTGTTTGGCTTGGGCTTTCCCTCCGAGCAGCAGCTGACGAAGGTACTGGGGCTCACTGAATTTCTGCAAAGGCTATCTTGTTTCTTGTTAATGAAGAATTGCATATACCCATCTGACCGCTTCTGAGCTGCATGCTTCTGCAAGTCCTCTTCATCTGTGCAAGTTGTCCATCTCCTATAATTATCCAGTGTCTGTATATACAGAAGCAGGCAGTATTGCAAACTTTATGGTCAAAACTATAAATTAAATCTGCCCACTGACAATGGTACTAGCGAGGTGATCTTGACAGTATCTTGCCCAGCATGGCTGGAAGTATTTGTGTTTTCAGTTATTTACAGAAACAACCTGAACTCTGAAGTACTTTTTGGCATGTTCCTGCCCTGTGTGCTCGTTTCAGCTGAAAGTGGCACCAAAAGCAAAGGGAACCACTGATATGCCAGGACTGCTGACATTAGGGCTCCCTGATGTCTCTGAAGGAAGAGAGTTGCTATCCCAGCCTCGGAAATGTGCGTTTGATGACTTGCTGCCGATGGTAGCTAACCGAGGTAGAGTTGACAGCCCCCGGGGCTTGCTGGTGCCCTGGTTTCGCAGATACCCCTGTTGGTGGGGCCGTGCTCTCAGGAGGCTCGGTAAACTGATCTGGGTTAAAATAATACTGCATTTTTGGCATCTCAGCTCAGTGGTGTGATTTGCAGCCCTGACCCAAAGCGGTTTTATCACCGACCTGGGGAGGTGACAGTGAGTTGTGGCAGAGATGGGGGATGAGTAGCCGGGGAGGTCTGACGCCAGGTTTGCTGGCAGAGCTGTGTCTCGGAGCTACACCCCAAACGTGGGTTTGGTATTAATGCAACACTTGTCTGGACCAGAGACTGGCTACAACAGCAGGCTTGTAAAGTCTAGAGCTGCCTCTTGTAATGAATAACCAGTGGTTTAAAATACATCCTCTGTCATTAGATTAGTGGTCTCGCCAAGTGCTCATCAAGCAGCTGAGATGTTTGTTTGTTCATGCAGTAAAAAACCCCTACTTATCTAACACATAGTTGACACTTGAAGCACGGCTACTTGGCACTGGGTTTTGTCAGTTAACTCAGCGTTGTGTCCTTGGGCATGGCACACGGTCTCTCTTGTTGCTATCCTCCTGTGTGCTTTGATATGAAAAGAAGCAGGAGAACAAGATGTTTCTTGTATGTCTAAAAGAGCAAGGGCAGACCATTGCGATAGAAGGAGGACCTTTCCATCATCTGAATTGTTATAGGAATTTATTTTACTAAGTCTGTCTTACTGAGTTATTGCAATTCCCAGAGAATTGCAATTTTTGCAAATATTTCTTAAAGGTAAAGCATATTTTACTTTTCACATTAAATTATTTTTGGACTTGGGATGTCTATAAAGGTGCCATGGCAATAACCTGCTCTTCTGGAATGCTAAGGCCAACCAATCACATGCAAAACTATTTTTTGAAAATGAGGTGCTGGTGCTGGTTGTGCTTTATGATGCTTAATCAAGTGTAGAGGACTGCTCGTTTCACCTATGCATATTCTCCACTCCTGTGATAAAGAGGTGTTCATAATAGCTAAATAAGTAGTATGGGAATATGGGAGGATTAAAGTGGGCCTAGGTTTATTTTGAGTAACAGATAAGCATGATACAGTACAACCTTTGGACACCAAATGAAAGAATTAGCACCATTGGATAGTAATTTTTAATCCCGGATTGCTGAAGTCACACCTCTGCAACATGACAGGTGACCGCACGGCACCGGGGGGCTGGCTGGGGTTAAACACGCACCACGCGCCGCGCGGAGCAGGTGGTGCTGAGGCTGGCTCGGGAGACGAGAGGTATAACAAGGCACGAGGTACATTTGGAGGTTCTTGCACCCTAATCAGAGAGATTTTACCATATTCTCCAAAACTGTTCAAACACGTACTTAGAATAAATGTAATGCTGGTATTAGAAAGCAGCTCTTTGATGTTCATGTGGCCGGACTAGAGCCAATCTGAAAAACGTGTCGTGTGGGTGCAGGGGCCCCAGCACCAGCTGTGTTTCTCTCTAGATCGGTATGCACATCTGTTTGCACTGCAGGATCTGCTGAAGAGCCCACTGCCGATAATACAGCCTTCTACTTGCAGGAAAAGCTTTCGAAACCAGCCGAAAGACTTTTTCTGGTCAGAATATCAAAGGGAAGCTTAAGGGGAGTACTTCTGAAAATAGCTTGAGATGATCTATTTTAAAAAAAAAAAGCTGACAGTTGTCTATCTGGAAAATGTTAGAAAACCTGGTTTATTACCACCATGCGAAGCAATGAGACATTTTCATCCCTGCTCCTCAGTTTAATTATTGAACCATTAGTACAAAAGATCAGAGATGGTGGAGAGATTACAGATGTATAAGTGTATTGGGAATAGTAAAATCAAGTTTAATTTTATGTTGATATCATTATACTCTTATAAAAGATATAAATTAAAGCTTGCCAGTTTTACTGGAAATAATTGAAGCTTTTAGTCAGGAATTGGAAGGACACATTAAAACTCCTCTAAACGAGAGATCAATAGCCCTGGCTTAAAATAAATAAATAAATAAAGCTGAAAAATGTCTGCTGAAAACAATGAATAATAATGAGACATGAGAATAGGTTAGCACACCTAAAAAGTGTGCATTTTTAAGTATATTGGTTAGCCTAATAAAAGATATTGCCTCTTTCTAATGCCTTGCTTCTCTTGAGATACTTAAGCATTAATCCATACCTATAGGGAAAAGCAGTTCAAATTAAACATGAGCCATTAATGAAAACTGCATTCAGTGACCTAGTAACCTAATTACCGTTCACATTGATGGGAGAATCCCAGGGCTTAAAGTTGATGTCCTACTCAGGGTCCTTTTCCCCCCTTGCAGGACTTGCTGACCCTCCTTTCCCCCCTTCCCACCCTGTGCCTCAAAAAGGTCTCAAGACATTATTCATACATCACTACAGGCAACTCGCAATAGGTGAGAATTAATGGTGTGCCTGGGTGTGATGAAGAGGCAGGGCTGGTGCTGTAAAGGCAGCGATGTGTTTTGCACATGAAGCGGTTAAGTAAAATTTCTGCTATCATCCAGGATGCTTCGATGCAGACATGCTATCTGAGGAGCTGTAGGTAGTCAAGGGACAAAGATTTATGCAGGTGGGAAACCCAGTAAACCCAGACTTTGCACATCATAAAGCAACTGTGTCCAGCATCTGGGAAGCAATGGACTTTATTTCTATGCATGCACGCACGTTATGTGTGCGGTATTTGCCTGGTGCTGTGTTGCAGCGGCGAAAGCTCGGAGCAGAGCCTGCCCCTGCCCCCAGCACGCAACGCAGCACCCCCGGTCCCACCGGCTTCGGTGCTGGCAGCGCGCTGGCTGTGCTAGAGCAAATTGCCAGCCACTTTCTGGAGTAAGTAGTCTTTTTTTGCTGCCAATCTGCCTGGTACTGTGGGCTCATCCAAAGAAAACCATGGGCAAAGCAATGCGTGCCTTGTGGGTCATGGCACGGCGGTGCTTCCCAAGGGGAACGTCGCATCACCCAGCCTTCTGCAAACCGAGAGGGCGATGAAATATTTATGAGACTGCTTTGGGTGGGAGCAGCTGTTTCATCTGTCTGACACTGGCACAATTTGTCAGTAGGAAACGTAAAATATTATGCCAGATCAGGAGCTTAAAATTTACACATACAAAATAATGCTTTTTAATGTATAAAATGTTAAGAAGGTCTATTTAAAAATATATATATTTCTCCAGGTGACAAGCTGGCTGCAGATTTGAACAGCCTTTAAATAATCTGTGCGATGCACAGTAGCATCCTTGAGTCCCCATGAAATGTCACTGGCCAAGACTCATAATCAGACAGTGCTCATGGGCTGCAGCAGCCTTAGACTAAAAGGCTTCACAAGCGTTGGTAGCAGCAAATATTTTCCATATTGCAGCTTAGTTTCACAGGTTCCTGTGAAAGACACGTCATATAATCCATGACGGACTATTGGAGTGGTGTTTAGTTGGCGTTTCTCCTACTCCAGTCTTTTTTTTGCTAATTTTGGGGAAATTTGTCTGCCCAAGGACAAGGGTGGAAGAAAGGGAAGATGAAGGGAGTAAGGATGGTGGAAGAAGGAGCATGATGCTTTTTTTAGTTGGTTTTGGGTATTTATACATGCATTGCCCCTCGAGACCACATTTACCAAGTTTTTATCTACTGAACAGAAGATTATTTCACTTTTTAACTAGGAATTTCACATTTAGAAAGCAATCCCTATTGTTGCAAAGGTTTGATAGCTCAAAGTCAACTTAGATCTTGGAGGTGGCACCCGATTTTGTAGTTTCAATTATTTGTCAATTATTTATGTTTGGGACAGAAGAAATCGGTTACTGGAGAGAAAGCATCTCTCTAATTTCTGCCAGTGATTAGAGACTGTGGCCATGCCGTCACTCTCAGAGACGGCCTCGGGATCTGGGTAGCTTCAGAAGCGCCTGGTCTGCTGCTGTAGCAATTAGCGTTGGTAATGCTACACAAGTTTGGGCTGTCACCACCGTGTTGCTGCACTCAGAAGAGTAATCAAGTGAAAGGCTTTAATTTCATAACAAGCCAAGTGATCCTCTGTAGCTTTCAAAAATAGACTGTTAGTAAAATCTAGCAAGTATTAATTAGCTAAGAATGAAAAAGAAGCGGCACTAGAACTCTTCATGGACTGACTGTTTCAAAGGGTGTGGGGTAAACAAACACCAGAGACAGTCTTTCACCACGGTTTCTGTTACAGCTGTCTTTACATTTGTAACAACGATAAGAATGACGGGTAATATTTTGACTCTTAAAGCTGAAGATCTGTCACCAAGATGGTGAAAAATTCAGTTATTTGTACTTGTTTCTAAAAGCAAATGTGTTAAATGCATGTGTTGGTAAACTAGAGACGTGGCTGAAATCTATTGTGCAATGAGATCATTATCAGTTTTATATTGAAGATTAGCTTTGCTCAGTCATATACAATTTTTTATTATGGAAATGTGGAAAAATGTCATTTTTCTTCTCAGCTCACATAATTTTTCACAGCAGCCTCCTGTGTGCTTTATGAAGATAGTTGCAAAAATAAAATTTGATAGATCGCTTCCAATTCTTTTTGTCTTTTCATATTTCATATAGTCCATGAAGAACGCTCATAAATTTTTCATGCTTGCCCGTAAAGATTTATTGTAAAAGAGAGACTCAAAACTTTACTATTTGAACGAAACCCAAGTGTAGAGCTTACTGTTGATACAGTATTTTAGAAATAATCAGTTTGTTATAACTGTTTTGTCACCGCAGGAGATAGATACATTTTGTGTAAAGTTGGAGTTAAATCGCTTAAGGCGAAAATGTAATGTAGTTATTCCTAAGGATCTTTGTAGCGCTACAAAGGTAATCAAGTCATTTGTGTGTAGTGACTGCACATGCCATCAGACGGCAACTGCTGCCATCCAAGAGCACATACTTTGCATATGCAATTTCAGCTGTTGTATATAAAACAGCTGGATTTGAGAGCTCGATCTTCATTCATAAGCATTGTCACAGATCGTAGTCTACACCCAAAATTTCACTCGGCTTTGAGAATGTGCTCGTCCATGGGATTTATAAATGATATATGTGTGTTTGTTGGAAATTTCCATTTGTGAGTGTTATACAAAACACAGGTGCCTCCAGATATAAATCCAATTTCCTCTTAGACCAGTTGGAGAAGATTTGTTTTATCAATCTTTATAGTCCCTGTATTTTACTGAGAAAGAGCATGCTAAATACCTGCTGTAAATCTGAAAGTTAGAAGATAAGATTAGTAAGTGGATAATGACTCTTCCCATTCTTTGACTATAAAATGTGATGTGTGTTCATGCTTTTATTTACAATTTTGTCATGAGTGTTCTGAATTATCGGAGGATATAATGGCAGTCCTTTTATTATTAAAATAGGTTTGTTTATATGCACTTCTAATGTGTCTTTCCTTTCGAGCGTTTCAAGTTTCTCAAAACACAGACAAGCAAGACCAAGCTGCTTTAGCAGGAAGGCAAAGTTACTCATTCAGGATACATCTTAATTAAAAAAAAAATTTATGCCTTTTCTTTCATCTTTGCAATCCTCCTTTTAAAACTTCAAACACTGTTTAAAGTGTTTAAAGCCCTGCAACCCTGCCTGGCTGTGATAATACTTGTATGTCAAAAGTGCCAGGCTGGCTTCGGAGCCGATGTCCTACAGCAACTTGTAGAGATTGGGATCGTTACTTTTCATCTTTATCTTTCTTTTCCCCTGCCTCCCCCAGCTTGATATAACCCTCTTACAGGAAGCATCCAGGCCTTTCCCTGAAGTCTTCTACCTTTATTTTTGCCAGTAATAAGAAAATTAGACCAGAAAAGCTGTATTTTCATATGGCTCCATTGTACATTCAGATCTACCTTTTTCTAGTTTTTTCTATGTCTTGATAATCTCTTGCTCGCATCCTACGGATATCTCATTAGCTCATTTGCATTCTTGAATTTAATTGACTTGCTCTTAGGAATAGAAGACATTGATTTTTTTTTTTTTTTTTTAATCCAAACGTATGTCTTTTATGCTTTCAACTTTAATAGACTGTCAACACCGAGTGAAACAGAGGAGGGGGAGGACATAAACAAAACCAAATCAAACCAGGAGACACTTTTAGCTCCTTTTTTTCTCCATGGGTTTTTACTGAGATTGGCCAGAGCTACAGAGATGTCCCTCTTTTAGAAACACCCCCATTCCTTTTGAAAGAACCTCTCTGCCAAAGAATTAAAATGGGTTTTCTTGCCAAAAATTTTAAATTATCAAAATTAGTTGTTCTTTTGGAGATCTATGAACCATATAAATATAGTAATCTGAACAGTTTAATAGATGATAAAATCATTCTAATAAATATCTTTCATGCTTTTTCCAGTTTGCAGAGAAATTCCAAGAAGTAAAAGAAGCTGCCAAACTAGCAAGAGACAGATCTCAAGAGAAAATTGAGACTTCAAGCAATCATTCCCAGGTTTGTAATTTAGCTTTAATACCTGTGTGCATACAGGATAAATTATTTAAAGTTAAATTTTCTAATGGACTGTACCAGCAGCAAGCTTAAAGTATATAAAATGAAGATTGCCGAAGGTAATTGTCAGCTGCTGGACATTAACATTGTCAGAGGAATATTTTTAATCCATCCATGCTCTTTGCCTTCATTTATATCTAATTTTTTTCAGCAGTTCTTGAGCTGTTACAACTTTTTTAATAACAGGGAAAGCTATACATCCTTTGATTTGTACTGTTACATGTACTTTGGGTCACTGGAAAGTAAGTCAGTGTAGTGCTTCAGAAGACAGTAAATGGGATTCATCAAGATACTTCTTTTTGTCCTCTGTCTAATCTACTTTTGTAAGAGTTTGGTTTGCCAGTGGCGACATTGACTTTGTGGCCATAGTGTTTCATTGCCTGGATGTGATGGATTGAAAGCTGTGGTGTGGGACCAGAGGCAGTGCGTTAGTGAGTGGTTGGAAGAACCTTGTGTTGCATATTTGTTCGATACACTTTTTTAGACAGCACACCTTGATATGGCCAAGGGCCTCCATGTCCAGGGAGGTTTCTTACAGATTGGGGAAATTGAGTGTTGTCCCAGTCTCTCTATATGTTTGACTGTAATTTCACACAGATTGAATTAGATAAGAATGAGCACTGTTCAGTGGGTGTTCTTGGCCTGGGCTAATGTTTGGAGGAAAGTTAGGCGAATTTTAGTCAGAGAGAAATTCAGCTGCATGATCAGAAAAAAGTTGCTGAATGCTCTTAGTCTTGCAACTAACCCCCTTTGTGGGGTCCACAAATATCGATCTGAGAGGCTGACTTTGGATACTCATTTTTTGAAGACTTTGGTCGTGGCCTTTATGGATCACTTTGTTCTCTGTTGGTGATCAGCACCAAGCAGTCTATGAATGGCATCTCCTTGGAGGAGCAGTATCTTCTTTTTTTTATTTTTGGTTTGGACTTTGTGTGCTTCCAGGTGCACTGTATTGTTTCATTATCTTAAGAAAAACAAACAACCTTTAGAAAACACAAGCCTTGTCGGTTACAACACTTTTTAAAAAATTTTTTGAACACTTTACACTTCCATTTTGTGTATCATTATCATTTTTTCATTCTTTTTGACCAGCTTTGCAGCCAAGATGTAAAGGGTATGTGTTTGTGTTCTGCCAGGAGAGCATACGCAGCCTAGGTCTCAGCAGGGTGGTGTGTGGGATCAAGATTACAAAGAAATTGGTGTCGTGGTGCTGCAGGAGGTGCAGGAGAAGCCCAGTGTTCATTTGTGTGTTGTGCTGCAGGAATCTGGACGTGAAACACCATCTTCCACTCGAGCATCTAGTGTGAACGGGACAGACGACGAGAAAGCATCCCATGGTGGCCCTGCTGAGGCACATCTCAAGTCTGAGAATGATAAATTAAAAATTGCTCTAGCCCAAAGGTGAGGTTCCTTTAATACCTAAATTGCACTGGAATAGCGTGCTGTAATTATCTGATGGCTAATGATATTAACAGAAATTATTCAAATGTAATTGCATTAATTTTAAATGATGCAGCAGAATGGATGAATGAGCAGATTTTAGCAAGTACCTCCCGGTATCCAGTTGAGAGATATTTACCATTCAGTTTTTTCCTGATCTAGTTTGTGATGAAATAAGATCTCTTTTATTCTCCTGATGCCAACTCTTATAGCCACATTCGTTTGTGAAGTTTTAGATCTACAGAAATAACATTAAAGCCACGGGGGAGCAATTGCTACTGATAACACGTGAAGCCCATCTCTTCTTCCTCTTTGAGTTTGCTATATTTACTTTGATGAAAATAGATATGGATATTTAAAATTATAAAAGGGAATAAAGGTGAAGGGTCTGGAGCACAAGTCTTATGAGGAGCGGCTGAGGGAACTGGGACTGTTTAGTCTGGAGAAGAGGAGGCTGAAGGGAGACCTCATCGCGCTCTACAACTACCTGAAAGGAGGTTGTAGTGAGGTGGGGGTTGGTCTCTTTTCCCAAGTAACCAGCGATAGGACGAGAGGAAATGGCCTCAAGTTGCGCCAAGGGAGGTTTAGATTGGACATTAGGAAAAACTTCTTTACTGAAAGAGTGGTCAGGCCTTGGAACAGGCTGCCCAGGGAAGTGGTGGAGTCACCATCCCTGGAAGTATTTGAAAGACGTGTAGATGAGGCGCTTAGGGACATGGTTTAGTGGGCATGGTGGTGTTGGGTTGACGGTTGGACTGGATGATCCTAGAGGTTTTTTCCAACCTTAATGATTCTATGATTCTGTGATTCTATTCTATGAACTCAACCTTAAAAAGGTGAAGTGAGAAATATAATTTCACCGGGCTTAGAAGTCTTAGGGGGATATTTCTAAAGTTGTGGACAATATCCCTCGAAGTCACATTTTCTGCTATTTGCTTTGATAAATTATTTGAAAATGCTGAGAAGAGTAATTTGCAGCCATAGTGAAAATACAGGCATTGGAATATGCAAAGTTATGACATTAAAATACTGTAATTCTCTACTAGGATCTTGCCTTGTCTGCCTCTTGCATGTGAATATATCTGTGAATGGAAAGAAAATATAGCAGGATCAAGCTACTCTTAAAAAGCTATTTAAAAAATAAGGCAGGAGCACCATAAGCAGCATTACCCAGTGAGCAATTCTAGGGTTGCATATATTATATTTGAAGTACATAATCTCTTTTTATTGACATTTCAATAGCATAACCTATTTCAAATCATAACGTTTGCTCATTCCTCCTGCTGAAGACGCCTCCACAGGCAAGTGGCAGCTAGCATGTAGGGAGTTTCAAAGCCTTCCTTCCATTCACCCTCTAATCTCGTGCTCTACGCTGCAGCTTGAAGCTTTGGGGAATGAGTAGTTTAATTCTTCGGAATTATGTAACACTTTTATATTTAAGGCTGAGCATTAAAAAAAATTCAAATATAGGTAGTGTCAATCCCCTGACATCTTCTGTTCTGAATTATTGTAACATCTGCAAGCGTGTGGAGTCACTTTGTTGCACGGGTACCATGTCCCCAGGCCTTGCACAGCAGCGGGTGCTCGGGGAGGCACAGCCGCGCCGCTCTGGAGGTGAGCACAGACCATCCCCAGCGCCGGAGTAAAACCCCTGTCTGCAATCGGTGGAGATCCCAGCTGTCGGCTTAACCCTACAGCCTGCTTTGACAGCAGGACTTTTCTTCCAGAAGCACAGGTCACTGTTGCTGGGGTTGATAGATCCCTTTGTTTTGGCAAAGATGGTCAAATCAATGCTTATGTTCTCCTCAGGCGGGCAATGGCTAGGGGCAAGTACATACTTCTGAGTATGCTTGATCTTACAACCACAGATCATTGGTAAACACGCGCCATGGCTGGATGAGTTTGCAGTCAGGTAAAGAGTAACGATACGCAGGATTATAAGGTGAAGGTACCTAACGGCACCCTGTTTTTTTCAGTTCATCCAACGTGAAGAAGTGGGAGACGGAGCTGCAGACGCTGCGGGAGAGCAACGCCAGGCTGACCACGGCGCTGCAGGAGTCCGCGGCCAGCATCGAGCACTGGAAGAAGCAGTTCTCAGCCTGCAAGGAGGAAAACGACCAGCTCAGGAGCAAGGTAGCGGAGCATACCCACAGGAGAGCCGTCTATTCCAGTTAGCTG